CTTAACCACTCAGCCATGGGGCTGGCCCCTAAAAATTTTTAACAGCTTTGTTGAAATACTATTCATGTACTATACAATTCACCCATTTAAAGTGTGTAATTCAGTGGCTTTTGGTATATTCATAGGGTTGTGCAACCATCAGCACAATCAACTCTGGGACTCTTATCAACCCACAAAGATACCTCGTACCCATGAGCAGTCAGTACCCCTTTCTCTTCTACACTAGCAACTAGTAATCTACTTTCTGTCCTATAGATTTGCCTATTCTGGACAGTTCATATATTTGGTCTTTCATGACTGGCATATTTTACTAGCATACTGTTTTTAAGGTGCTTTTGTGTTACAGCATATATCAGTACTTCATTTTTTTGTTGCTGAATAATATTCCATTATATGGATAATAATGCCACATTTTATTTATCCATTCATCAGCTGATAGGACATTTAGGTTATTTCTTACTTTTTTTTGTGAGGGAGGATTGGCCCTGAGCTAACATCTGCTGTCAACATTTTTTTTTTTTTATGTCAGCCACCACCACAGCATGGCCACTAACTGACGAGTGGTGTAGATGTGCGACCAGGAACCAAACTGGTTGCCGAAGCCGAGCATGCTGAACTTAACTACTAGGTTACCAGGGCTGGCCTGTGATTTTTGCTTTTTGACTATTATCAGTAATGCTGCCATGAACGTTTGTGTACTAGTTTTTGTGTATACATATGCTTTTATTTCTTTTGGTTATTTACCTGGGAGGCAGATTGCTGGGTCATATGATAACTCTTGGTTTATCAATTTGAAGAACTGCCAGGCTGTTTTCCAGAGCTCAAAGTTGTTTAGCTATAGGCTCATCTCACAGAAGATGACTTACTTAAAATTCAAGGAGGCTAATAATGTGGCAATAACCTATTTCTGCTAGATTTGTCAAGCTAGATAAGAACTTGTTCCCAAAGAAATAAATCACCCTCACAAACAGATAAATTAGGAATTATGCCTTCAAATAAATGTTTTCAGTGCCCTAAGAGTTTTGTGTTTGGTGTTTGTGCCATGCTGTGAATGAGAAAGTAATTATTTGAGATTTAAAATTCTATTTATTGCAAGAATTAGGAGAAGAGAGATAAGATTTTGGATGAACTTAAATTTTAAGTAATTTTTCAAATTATGTAAGAAATACATCCTTATTGTCAGGAAATATAGAAAGTGTAGAGAAAACAATTTAAACCCCCTATAATCTTTTTATCCCATGTGTATCACTTGTTTATGTTTTATTTTTCTGCATATATGTGTGTATATACATAAACACAAAAATAAAACACTTCAAACAAGCAAAATTGGGTTCACACTCAGTGTGCTTTTTCCAAGGTGAGTTTTAATAATAATATTATTTGAGAGTGTAAGGTTGTCCCAGGTACTTTCTAAGCATTTTATATGTTTTAATTCATTGAAGCATTACGACTTGCTGAGGTGTCAGTGCTATTATTACCCAGTTTACAGATGGGAAAATTGAGGTACAGTGAAGTTTAGTTACTTCCCTGGGGTCAAATAGAAGTAAAGAGCAGAGTTTGGAAATTTGAATGTGCCCTTACACTACTATTCACTGTCTTTCTGTACATGAATCTTTGTCTATATAATTATAATGGCAGCTTCTTAGAAGTGTATTACTTGTTTGATATGTAAGAGAGTTAAATGCATTCCTATACGCCCCAACTCCCCTCCCCCCCATAAAAGAACTATAACAATGGCTTACATAAAGTAAATAGATAGATGTTTGTGGGAAGTACCTATGCATCGCAGAAATGATATCAGATATTTGAAATAATGATATTGCTTTTATATTTTACAGATAAGCCTCACAATCCTATGGTAAATGCTGGAGCAATTGTTGTGACTTCATTAATAAAGGTAAAATGTTGACATTTCTTTTTAACCTAGTAAATTTTTTTAATAGCTAAGGCATAAAGATAAATCTTGGATTATTTATGTAGAACTGTGAAAAGTTTTCTTTTGGTGTTAAAAAAAATTAATCCTATGGTGTAAGGTTAGGATTTTTATTTATTTCAAAATAAATGATGTAATTTCAAGGGCCAAATGAAAAACAGATGACTCATTGTAAATTTCAAGTTACTCTTGACCTGAAGATCTGGCAGAAATTCAAAAAGAAGTCTGCTGAACAATAGGCACAGAAGTTTTTCTTCTTAAAGTTTTGATATTTTTTTCTTTCTCTTCCTTTTGGCTCTTCTAGAATGAACAGATGTAAACAGAATTAAAAGCATTTTACTGTTTAATGTTTGTCATCAGCACATCTAGGAACAAATGTTTTGGTACTTTGTGTTAAGACAAAGTACATTCAACCTTGAATAATTTCAAGTCCTTTATACTTTCATGAGCTATATTCACAATTTTCATTTGAACTTGTTTCATTTGTTTTCCTTTATCATATAATAACTAAAATAAGTAATACTTATTCCAATTATTAAGTTATATTATTTTTCTTATACTTTGTTTTGCATTATATGTTTTGAGGGTTTTTTTTTAGTGTCTGGTTTGTCTTAATAATTGGAAGCTCTAATGTTGTTTTGAAATAAGTATTTGAAAATGGTTCTATTGTGTCATACTGTTTAGATTTTTAATTATAAATTTCATTTATATTCAAATACCTTTCATTTGTGTTTGGAACCTTTATAGACCTTCAGTAAATTTGTGCCTATCTATTTTAAGCTTGAAAAAAACGTAACTACATGGCTTTGTAGATTCCTTACTGGGGATGGGAGACCCTGGTTACACAAAGAATGTTTGAATATAAATTTTTCCTTGGCCCAATTAATAAAAATTCATCTAGTTTGTATACTTGAAATATTCTCTTAAGTTTCATGAATTTTATATATTCATGAGAAAAAGCCTTTAAAATAGAAGACTACTATCTTAAGAATAGTAGTATGTTTAGTTGCTATTTTAGGGCAAATGCTTTATAAGCGTTGGCTCACTTAATCCTTGTAGCTCTCATGAGGTAGATATTATATCCAAGTATTATTTAATGTAACTAATTTTAATAAGCTATGGAAATTTTCTCTTTGCCCATTATAACATCTAGTTATTCATGACTGTTTTACCTAAGAGAAAAGTTGTCAGTTTCAGGTGAAACTATTTATTGTAGAAAATTATAATATGAATATGTGCTAGGCACAGTCCTGCCTTCAGGTAGCTTACATTATAGTGTGGGGTGTATACAAGTAAATGGGCCCTTACAATGAAATTCAATAAATATGGATGAGAGAAATGTCTCATTAATAATTGTTCAGATTTGAAGAGTAACTTAAATTAGAAGTAAGGAAAATTATGATAATACAATGTATGTGTTAGTGCTTGATGAAAAGCCACTAAAATGGTTCTGAACCTTTTTAGGTCTTCCCAGAAAAATGTTCACATACCGTGATTTTATGTAAACTTTAGGGAGTTCACAGACCCTTTGAAGCTGATTCATGGATCCCAGTTTAAGAACTCTTACACTGGAGAAAAATTAGCATGGCACACCAGTAGTATTTTCAAGAAAGAGCTTATGTGAATGATTAATAGAAGCCTTCCTTAATTGCATGCAGTTCAACATCGTTTGTTTAGTGATTCATGGGTTTAATATACCACACTGAAATGCTGCATGTGGCAAATGCATGTCTGGTCATACTACACAGTCACTTCATTGGTTTCACTTACCATGTTCAGTCACAAGCCATAAACTATACGTTGAGCCACAGTAGTAGGAGCGCTTAGAAACAGAGTTACAAAGGCACACATACCCAACATAAGTGTGGTTCAGTGTCCAACAGTGCAAAAATTTAACTGAGTCATCTTGTATTTACAAATTTGATCAGTGATTTTAAATTTATAAAAATTTTAAATTGACAAAGTTGGAAATGAGGCTTTGGAGTATGGTTCATATTTAAGATCACTTTCTTTGAATTTTTGTTTTGTTTTGTTTTTAGAAGGTGTTTCACAAGTTGTTGTGTTTTTCTTGTCTGTTTGTTTTTTTTATGAAGTTCGTCTAAATCTTGGAGGGGTAAGCCTGATATACCTCTGTGTAAAACTGCCCCAGAATGTAATACTTTTCTTAGACTCTTTTTTAAAAAGAATTCAAAACTCTGAAAAATAGCTGTATGTGATCTTTGCATAATATTTATGAATTGCTAGTTGAAATTGAGATAATAAAACTGTAGGCAAAAGGGTCTTCAGACCCAGCCCTCTTACTTTGTGTAGATGCGGTGAGGAAACTGAGATTGATAGGTTCTAACAGCAGTGGAATTGGGCTTGAGCTAAATCTCCTGATTTTTTGTTTGCTGTTCATTAGAATTTACTCTGCCATATTTAATGTAAGTGTTTGCTCTTTGATGACATCTTTCTCTTTACCTTGCATAGTTAAATTGTCCAAAAAGCAGAAATTTTATTTTCTGAATTTTAACTTATACAAAAGATACCAATTTATTGGCTTAAAAATCACATCTGATTTTCAGTGGGTGAATATGGTCATTCTTTGGACATTAGACAGTGCTTCCTGTCTGTAAGGAACGAGGCCTCTTCTCAAGGACCTTTCGTTTGAGTACCCAAAGCATGGATATTTTACCATAGCTACTAGATTTGAATTCTGTTTTTTAGCTCTTTTAGTTGATTACCTTAAGGCTATTTTTTTTTCTTTCAAAGTTCAAGACTTCATTATCGTGCTATTAAAAGATTCTCCTCATGTTATTCCCCCTCCCCCACACACAAAAAAATTAAGTAGAGTCTTTAGTAAGACTCTTTATTTCGTAATTTTGTAGTATTGATATTTTTTCCTTGTAGGATTGGTGGTGATCCTCAGGAAATGGGGGAAGAGGCAAAGCAAATGTTCAAAAGGATTAGCAGATTGTGGAAAAAAGGAGGATTTGGACAGAAGGAACCTGTTGCATAAATTCTTAACTTCTAAACTTATAGGAAAACTCCAATATTTAAAATTTTAAACAAAGCTATATAGGTAAATACCTTCATAAAAACAAATGTCATTTTGTACTTAAAATGCACATAATTCAAAAAACCATAAAGGTATTATACTTCCTTTTTCTCTATGGTAGCTACTAAATTTAGAAGAGTACTTTTTGATGTAGTTTGTTTTATTTGATGATGATGATGATGATGTGGTTGCTTGATTTAAAGGAAAGAGTGAAAATAAATTTGAAAGTAGCAGAGTTATTCTGGATGAAATAGCAGTATCTTTATGTAATTTTTTTTCTTTTCAGCGGTAAAAATTTCGCCTAATTAAAAAGTTTAAAAGTTAAGGTCTGGCAATAACATGAGGGTTTGGGTGGGAAGATGAGGACAACATATTACGAGATAATTGCCACACTTCTGCTTTTTTATTTTAAAGGCAAAGAATGAGTTACATTGTTTTCTTCTTCTTTGTTTATGTCTCTTATTCTAGTAATTATTTCCAGTTTTTTTTGTTTGAGGAAACTCGATTTTTTTTTTAATCAGAAGTATTTTTTAATTGAAAAAACTGGAGGTTTTTTCCTTTCTTTTTTAAAAAAACAACATGATCATGCTCCATGAAACTTAGGACAAATTTAGTTAATATGTATGTAATGCTCATTTTGGTCATGTTAGCAGTAAACTGTTAGACTTGCTTATAAGCCATATTTTTTGAAGGCACTTTGTGGCTCTGGGAAGCATGGATGACACCTTGGACATGGTAACATTCATAAGAAAGGATTATACTGGTTTATTTACTTCATGTTTACATCAGTTGGTGTATATGAGGTTTTTTTTTTTTTAAATAAAAGGCAAATAATTTATTGCCAACAGAATCCACTTTTCTGTAACTTTATTTTTAGGTTAATCTATGAAAATACTAGATTTAAACCTTTTTCACCTATAATATCTATTTGAATATTCCAAGTATTTAGCCTTAAGGCATTTCCTGTAGTGAGATTAAACTAAAAGTATTTTTTTAAATCATTTTCAGGTAGCTCTTTTTTGCCTCTTGCTTCTATGATCTCTAATTTTCAGTCGGCTTTTACACCTCCATACTTTATGAATGGAGTAAAGTGATTTACTTATAAAATAACTGATTAATATGTTGACTCTAAATGAGTCATTTTTATATTAAATTTATTGGCAGATGTGTCCCTGTTAACAGTGATATTTTCACCTGTGTTACAATGCATAATATGTGATTCAATTCATGAGTATGTTGTAAAAATAGGCTATAAAAACACTCCAGTGTAGTTATATTAATTCTTTTAATAGTCAGTGTTAAAACTCAGTGCCTTTTTATCAAATTTTCTTTCCTAAAATTTTCTTCAAAGGAATGCAAATTTTTTGACTTGAGATGTGTTTATAGAAAAATAAATTTGTGTAATTTTCTAGTCTCGGGGTCTGATTACTACCATTTTCAAGCAAACCACAATGGTTTGTTTTTTAAAAGTCATTTGGTGAATGAATTAGAAGTGTTAGTAAATATATTTTGTCCAGTTTACTTTTTTTTTAAGTTTTCCTGCTGTACTTACTACAAGTTACTGTACCATTTTCAAGATTAAAATAACATGATATCTAATAATCTGTGCAGTGAGTTAAAACTAGGAATTTTTTTCCAAGAGATAAGGGACATGGATAGTTTTAAGACTATCAGTTTCCAAATCCCAGCTTTCATGTGTGCTTTTCTTAAAATGAATTTGCCTTTGGTTCAGGTTTCCTCTCACTTTTCAAAGGAGAGGCATACTTCTCGTGTGTCACATTTTACTGTGGTGTACTGCTTCAGGTTGTAAAAACTTAATAAGTACCAACAAAAGAGAACATTTTGAAATATTGAAGTCAGTGGTATTGAGGATGTGAATCACTATATAATGACTGGGAACAAGTCTCTTGTATACCACCTTGTTTCCAGTTTTTGATTTCAATAAAATGGAAAGAGGATCTAATCAAGTTGTTAGTTAATAAGACCATTAAGCATAATTTTTGAGGGTAGATTACTGTGTGACTTTTGCATGTAATGAGATAGATATGTAAAGAACTGAGTGACGTTGCTATAACAAAACCTTTTCTCTTTCCATCTATTCATCTGTTGTCAGCAAGATTTCTCAATTCATACATCTGTAAAAATTTAAAATAGAGAATTAAACTCCTCATTCTACTAATAGAAACTATTCACTGATAGATGAACTAAATAAAAATTACTATTTCAAAGGGAAAAGAAAATATTCTAAAGGAGCAGTTTTTGTATGTTAGCATGGGACATCGTGGTGATTAGCAAATAAACATTTTTCCTTTAATGTTTTATGAAAATTTTCAAATATGTACAAAATAAACAGAATAGTATAACTAGCCCCCATGTACCCATTCCTGGCTTCAATTTTCATAATATCTGTTCCTCTGCACCCCACTACTGGATAATGATGATGGTTTTTTTGCAGTTTGTTTTTTTGCTTTTGGGGAGGAATTTACTCCACTTTATTTTGTATGAGTATGTGTGTTTTTTCTAACATCTTTAAAAATAAACTTTATACTGTAACTTTTTCAAAATTAAAATAGCATAACATCTAATAATTATTAGATCCCATATATATCCCTGGGGTACATGAAATCTTTCCAAGACATGCAAGGGCAAATATATTTTGTTGACAGGTTAAGTATTTCCAGGGTGGTCTTACTATTCTAGTAAGAACAAACATTATTCGAGTGCTTTTACATTTAAATGGGGAAGTTTTGGGGAGAAATTTTCTTGAGTCAACACAGTCATTCAGATATTTTATTTTGCTTGTTTATATAATCTGCCTAGGACATTTCAATAGCTTGCCCAAAATGTTATAGAATGATAGACATTGGTAAATATCAGTTGTTTCTTAAAAATAGCATAGAAGCAAAACTTAATTGTACTTTAATTTAGTAAGCTGCAAAGTAGACCAAATATATGACCACAGTCTAGGGTTGAAACAAGTTTTTTTTTAAATTAAACATGACAGCCAAATAAAGAAAATTTGTATTAATTTTATAGGGCACAGTTTAGGTCAGAGAATGAAAGTTCAATATCACTTGTTTATTTTACATTGATTAATTGTATAACCAGTTATTATCATGTGACATCCCAATGCAAATGCTGACATCCTTTTCCAAAAGAGTTGTTTTTTTATGCTTTTTCAAAGGTTAAAAAGGTTTTTGTGGTTTAAATGTTGTTACATATTTTACAGCATTAGGATCTATGGAATATTTTGACAACTGCAACAGTTCAATGAAGTTGGTAATTTCTTCTTTTAATTATTTTTCATTGAACAGCTTTGGAGTTACATTTCTACATTTTGATTTCTGGTGTATTAATAAGGAAAGAAAAACTTAAAATATGTCAAAGGACACTTTAGAGAAAATACATAGATAAGTGATTACAATATGACTGTAGCTAAATTATCCTTATCTTGTTTAAGCTCTGTTAATGCCTAATTTTGATAAAATAGTGTGGTGTTCTTTCCAGCTACTGATTGTATGTGTGATTGGACATCCTTTCTCAAATAAATTGACTTGTAAGATTTCACAGATTATCAGCCACATCCTAATCCACTTGTAAAGTGGAGAATGAAACTGGCTTTATTCAATTAAATGATACTCTGATACAGGTTTTCTTCCCATAATGAAATTTTAAAGTGCAATGTTTTGGATTTTTTGAGGGTAAAGTTATAAAATTTTGTTTTTATAACTTTAGTTGTCGAATTATTTTATTTTAAACCTGTTTTAAAAATTAGAGATGTATTGTTTCTATTGGGTGCATATCACCAATTAATACGTTTGATTTCAGATCTACAACTTACTGCTTTGTAAACTTCGCCGAGGTAAAATGAAACCATTTGGCTACTTGAACTGATCTACATTACATAGATTTTTCCTATTGACATTTGCAGTAGCTAACATCAGAAATAGAAGTGATGAAACAATACATCTTCCATGCTCTGAATTGGCATAGTGCTAAATAAAAATACAGCTAATTTTTTAGGGACTGAACTATAATTTTTTTTCAGTTCAAGTATTGTTATAACAAGTGAGATATTAAAGATAGAGCCTTCTCTATATAGTAAATTGTATCCAGATTGTTTGCTTATACTAGGATTATAAAAGATTAGTTAGTTTTGCAACGTAACTCATTTTTCTAACTCTAATATTGGTTTAAAGTTATTTTAAAAATATAAGTAGATTGTTCTGAATTGAAAACCATAATTTATATATACTTAATTCTTTTCTAAGGGTGAAACTTTAAGTTTTTTAAAAATATGAAATTAAATAAATAACATACATTCTAGCAGATTGTGTGTTGTCATGAAAAATAAGGGGACTTGGGGTAACTTGTATTTAAAATTCTGTAACTTGGGTTGGGTAAAGATATACTTGAAATAAAGCATTCCCTTTGTAATTCAGATCCATTCTCAACATATGGTGCTAATGAAAGAACATGTAAAAAGTTTATGTAAATATTAAATTACTTTAGAAGTATTTTCTAGATCTAAAAGTACTAATGCGCAGTATATTAATTATAATGATAGCAGTTTGAAATTTTGATATTATAGTCACTTAAAACTTAACTATGGTGGTTCCTATATTAACATATTTATGTCTCATTTCTTTGCAGCAAGGAGTGAATAATGCTGAAAAATTTGACTATGTAAGTGCAATATAGAATTCAGTTTTCATGCTACATTCTTTATATATTTGTTTTTTGATTACTAATACTTTCTAATTTTGGTTTATAGGTGATGCAGTTTTTGAATAAGATGGCTGGTAATGAATATGTTGGATTCAGTAATGCAACGTGAGTCTGATTTATGACTTAAGTGTTTATAATGGGTCAGGACTCTTTAATTTTCAAAATCTAGATTATAGAATTTTATTTTAAATACTGTTTTGTGACTCCATATATCTATGAAGTATGATTTTATATTTTTATATATATGCACATGCACACACACACATACACTCACTGTATTTAGAATTAATCTTTTCTTCCTTTTTGGTCCTAGGACTGACTTCAGTGAATAAATAATTATTTAAAATTTGGTCATTAGAGGGAAGTGAATGATTTCTAAATTACCTGGGGGGGGGGAACACTTAAAATGCTTTAAGTATTTTCAACAAACTTTATGGATAATCAGAATTAGAAGAGATGCCAAGTTCACTTCAAATTACTGGCATTTATTCAATTTTCTCTTTTTCTATAATACCTGTCTTAACGTTTCTTAATCTGTGTGTGCCTGGCTAATTTGATTTTTACCCCAGTTTTTTATTTTGAAATTTTCAAGTCTGCAGAAAAGTTGAAAGAATAAATGATGAATATCTGGATATCTTTCATTTATATTTTCTGGTTAATATTTTGTCTCATTTGCTTTTTCTCAACCTCTCTCTTTAGATAAACAGTTAAAAATATGTGTATCTCTACATATATATGTAAATATATGTAAATATACATGTATGAGGGCTTCTTTTTCTCTGAACTATTTGAAATTAAGTTGCAGACGTCATGCCACTTCACCCTTAAATAACTCAGCATGAGTGTCCTAAGAATAAGGACATTCTCTATGTAACCACAATACAATCAACACACTTAAGAATGTAAATATTAATTTTAAAATATCATGATGTTAATCAATATGTAAGTGTCCCCAGCTGTCCCTGAAATGCCTTTTATGACCTTTTTTTTTTTAGGAACTAATGAATGAATGTTCATGCATTACATTTGGTATATCTCTTTTATCTTTTTAAAATAGAAAAGGCCCCCTGTCCTAGACCCTTTCTTTTTAAAATTTTATTAAAAATTTTATTCAACTTTCTCGAAGAGTGCCAACCAATTGTTTTATACAGCAGGAATTAGCTAACTTTTTCTGTGAAGGACCAGATAGTAAATATTTTAGACTTCTGTGCCATATGGTGTTGCAACTACTCACTTCTACTAAGTAGGAAAACAGCCATAGACAATATGAGGCTGTGTTCCAAAAAACTTTATTTGTAAAAACAGGCAGCAGACTAGATCTGGCCCATGGGCTGTAGTAGATATTCCCCATTTTGAATAGGTCTCGCTATTTCCTTGTGATTAGATAAAGCTTAAACAGTTTTGGTGTGAATACTAACTAGGTGATGCTTTGTACTTCATGTTTCAGAGGGCAAAAATTTTGAGGTTGTCTGCTTTACCAACTTTTATTCATCAGCTTAAGTATCTTCCATGAAGTTTTTCATGAATCTCATCTCGCCTCTCTTCTGTGCTTTCATATTACCATATTTTATTGAACTTAATTCTTTGTCTGTCTTTGTCCTCTCATCACCATTAGACTTTGACCTTCTTAAGACCTGGATAGAGTATCTTCCAATTCATTTCTGTATTCCTCTTATATGGCTGATATTAGGTACTTGACGTAGTGTTTGATGAACAGAATGCTAGGCACTGGGATAATGTCTAAGTAGTTAGTCCTTTATACCGTGCTGATGTTTTTTTAAAAAGTATGGCAAGTTGACATGTTTATTTACAAGAACTTTCCCATATCCAACATTGTTTTTCTGACCATAGAAATATTAAAATACACAGTTAGAAGGGGCTGTCCACCCATGATCGATAATGCAAACAGTATCACCCACAGTTCCTCTTTTGTCAGCAGTCTTCTGGACGCTTGTAGGTTGAGCTCTGAAATGTACCACAAATGGAATCTATCTGAGTCAAAACTCATCTATTTCTTCCCAAACTGCTCTTTGCTCCAGGGATCCTCATGTCAGTTGATTATCACCATTCTTTCAGTAGACTATTATAGAAATCCAGGCTTTGTACCAGACTTCACCCTGGTTCTTCTCTTTCCCATCAGGTCAGAAGACTTGCCCAACTGCTCTCATGTTCTTGTGTTTGATTATACAGCTCCTTCCATTTCTATCACCACTACCTAAGTTCAGGCTTCCTGTAGCTCTTATTTAGTAGTCTCATAATAACATCACTTATCCTTTCTTTTTCCCCTTTCCTAAACTGATGACAGAGTTATCCTCCTAAAATGTAGATCTGACAAGGTAACTTGTTTGAAAGCCTTCAAGGTTCATTCTATAGGCAGTCGGGAGCCATTACATTTTTTAGCATTTTTTGGTCTTGGTAATTTGATCCTAGCCTCCTTTGTTAGTTTGCTGTTTCTCTAGTCTTCTCCATGAAGGATATTTCCCAGATACATCAGAATATTTGCCATTCTTCAATGAAGTCCTGTCTTTTATACTTTTATAACTTTGTTCACGCTGTATGAAATTTGCCACCACCCAGGCTTCCCCCTGAAATCTGTTAATCCAGCAAATGCTGTAAGGCTCATTTCATGTGTCCCCCTCTCAGTGAAATTTCCATGGATTCCCTCAGTTTGAATTGACTGTTTATTGTACTTTGGGGGAATCCAGAAGATTCTGAAATTTTTTAGTATATTTCAATGGTGGAATGTTTGATAACTTTAAAATTAGCTTGTTTATTTACAAAATGTGAAGCAAGAAAGGGCCTAGTTCATTTCAGTCCTTTTACAGCTAAGAAAATTAAGGCTGAAAGAATTGTCACTTAAACGACTTGCCCAAGGCCACATAGCTAGCCTGTTGACAGAACTGGGACTGGAGCCCAGCAGCCTCGACTCTTAGGTCAGTGTTCATTATACTGAACTTTGCTGTACAGATTAAACTCCATTATAATCATACTTTTACAGAAAGTAAATTAATAGAGCCAATGTGTTTTTTTCTTCTAGGTTTCAGTCCGAAAGAGAAAGTGGAGATCGAAATTTTGCAATAGGATATTACTTAAAAGAAAAAAAGGTTTTTAAATTTTGTTTCTATTTCAAATAATTCTTTTATTTAATAAAATACATGAAGATGCATGCTAAGAACTCAACAATAGCTTTTCAGCAACTACCTATTAATATTTAAGGTGCAAAAGTTTTTGCAAAACACTCTTGAGTTAATGTTATCAAAGTGTTAATATTATAAAATCAGTTTGTATCTGGCAGTATTCAAATTTTCACTGAGTTATATTACTACAAATTTTGCTTAAGGATTAGCCCATTACTTTTTCCAAAAGTACAGTGCCTGACTATTGTTGATTACACTTGACTTTTTAATTTTAAGTGGCTGGTCCAGTAACTTGTTTTATTGTCAGTTAAACTAGTATCTATAAATCTATATGTGATATAATTTTGCTTTATTTTTCTTCATTATTTCATGTTTATACCCTTTTGTAGGTTGTGTACTATTTTGTTGTCAAAATGAAATATTTGTATACATTTTAAATTTAATCTTCATGCATCCTTTGCTTATGTGCATATATTTTTTTTGCTATGTGCCAATGTTTTTAATTGCCTTTCTATTTTTTTAGTGTTTTCCAGAAGGCACAGACATGGTTGGTATATTAGACTTCTACTTCCAGGTAATTTACTTTAACTATGTGAATTGTTTGTATAAATTTGTGTGTCACAGATCTCTCTGTAATCTTGGCTCTAAGCCAAGAGAAAATACATTTCTCATTGACTCCCAAAAAAATGTCTTCATGAAAGACAGTCTCATATCTGTATCTTCTAAAAAGTCATGCCTCAGAATGTAATACAGAGAATTTTTTTCTGTAAAAACTTTATATTTAAGACGTATCAAAAATAATGTACAGTTCCTGTAATTGGCTTCTCCTTATTATAAACTGAGCTCTGTCTTGTTTACTTTTAAATTTTGTTTGGAGGAGTTGCTTGTTTCTTTATCAGAGAGTTCATGTTAAGCATTTTAAAGTGACAGTTTCTCAGTTTGTTTAGTTCATTTCTGTAGTGTCACATAGTGACTTTTCTTCTATGTTAGAGGAGCTCTCCATATTCATGGGGAAGGGGGCCACTCACCTAATCTGCTGTGGTGTAGAACTCAATGGAAGATAGCCTTCCAGGACATCCCTCTCCTCCACCCATATTTTCAGTTCAGTTCATTCTTACAGATTTAATATCATGGTGTCTCTGATGCTCTATAAGCTACATAGTAACAAATCAATTATTGTTAATTTCTAATCTACCTTACATTTGCCTGCCTTTACTTTTGAAGATGCTTTAATTTTAACCTCTACTAATCTTAAAAAATATATAAGAGAGGTTGATAATGAAGTAGATTTTGATGGAAGTCCAAGTCACAGTTTGTCACCTGCCCAACATGAAGAACTGTGAATTGGGAAACCAGGCTATCAATATAAAATCAAGATCTGACTTGGCCACTTTTTAGCCATGTGACCTAATTTCAATTTCTGAGGCCTGGTTTCATTATCTGTAGCATACGCTTGACATCTAACGTTCTGCATTACATTGAAGATAACCTGAGATGATATGTGTGAAATTCCTTTGAAACTGTTGTTAGATGAAATATAGTGTCATGTTGGCTTTTATCTAGTAGGCTTTATTTTTTTCCCTAGCCCATATGAATTTCTTCTGTTTGTTAAAGTTTCTTTTCCTCTAGTGTTCATATTTAACTTTGGCTGTTATGGCATAGATGCTACTAAGCTACTGTGAAATTTCTACACTTCAGAGCAAACATCAAGAGACACCCATAGAAGCCCTACCTGTTACTTTTGTGGAGAAGAACTGCTTCTAATTAAACCTCCATCAGGGTATCAGGAAAGCACTCTTAAATTGGCATTTGTCGTTAGGAGTGTATCACCTTATGACAGACAAAATGCCAGTTAATACTAAGTATGATGAGGAAATGATCATTGGAATTTAAATCTTGTTTCTTTTGGAAAACCTTTCATGATTAGATCAACTTTACTATAAATCTTTGCTATCTGGGTCAGTACAGTAAGTAGATTCTGTAGTTTTGAGAAATAGGGAAGAGGTTTTGTATAAATAGGCAAAAGTGAAAGTCAGTCAAAAAGTGGCTCCCAATCAGTTTTCTAATTCACTGTAGTTAAGAAGTTTCCCTTCTTGCTATTTCCAAACCCCTTTGTGCCTCTTGTAGATCCTGACGTATGAGTGAGGAAGGTTTGTAAGTTGAGAAAGTCTCTTCTTCTTCCCCCTTTGCACCTTCCCTTTCTCCTCTGCTTGCTCCTCAGTTTTGGTTGCTGATGATGAAAAGTAAAATAGAGCATATTTATTGTTCTTTTATTTTATGGGTAAATTTAGGTTTGGTGTGGTAAAGTATTTCCATTATTTTGATTATATTTAAATGCAAAAATTTCATCCCACAGTGTACCTGGACTTTGTTTTTTTCATTCATCATAGTATATCCAGCACCCATAGTCAATATCAAATATTTGAATGTTAATAAATGGTTTAAAAGGAAGCATTTTGGTTTAGGCACACAAAGCGTCCAGGCTAGAGCTGTCTTAGATTTTTCTTCCCTTAGTCCTTTGCATGTTACCGTATGGGGATGCTGGGCTTTGTTATGGTGAAATGTCAGGCATTTTATCATTTTTTTCCTAAAGTGGGAATTTCTCATGTAGATGCTGTCATAATACTGATGTATGTTGCTTTATCTTAAAAATATATCATGGCTCCTTCTTCTCTATTGAGTTAAAATAATTATGTTTGTGTATCCTATGGAAAGCATTAATATTTAAGCAACTTTGAATATCACATGGGGCAGTTACAAATCTTAGTGCTTAGAGGCTGACTCTTCCTATCCTAGTTTGGCTATTAAAAGACTGAATAGCTAGGTAAGTCAGGATAGCCTTAAAGGGGCTAGAACTTTGTTCAAATAAAAATCTTTGGAATATCATCAAGTTATGTTAAAATAATCCCTTTGGAAGAAAGATTTCAGATTTATATGAAATACCAGATAAAACAGATTATCTTAGAAGTCAAGTGAAATACTAAAAATAATGTGGGCCTAAATTTTCAGAATTCCCTTTTTTCTTCCTTTTAGCTGTGCTCCATTGAAGTAACTTGTGAATCAGCTAGTGTCATGGCTGCGACACTGGCTAATGGTGGTTTCTGCCCAATTTCTGGTGAAAGAGTACTGAGCCCTGAGGCAGTTCGAAATACGTTGAGTTTGATGCATTCCTGTGGCATGTATGATTTCTCAGGGCAATTTGCTTTCCATGTAAGTAATTGTTTAATCTTAATTTTTTCTGGCAAGAAACTAGTCTGGACTGGTTCTTTTAAAAATGCAGTTTAGAATTTGTTTCTAAAGCTGTACATTAATTTTTGAGAGAGAAGCTTGTTTTCAAGGTTAATTTGTTACAGAATTGGTAAAGAATATAGTGAAGCACTCTACCAGATGTTCTTAAGAACTTGAAGTTTAATTTATAGAACCTCATCACTTCTATTTTTAAGACATTTCAATGTACAAGGTTAGTACAGGCTTTCTTTTAGTTGTTAATGTTTTGCATTATAGTGATTACATGCCTCAAGAATTCCTTAAATTCAGAAGTAGTGCATAATTGTAATGTTTAACATCTTTGGTTACAGCCATAGATGTTTTCAAAGGGCTAAAAGTATGTTAAAGTTAAAACTTAAAAATATAATGCTTTAAGCTTGCTTGTACATTTGCTACTTGTGAAATGTATAGACTTTTCTTATTTCATTCTGCTTATGTCAACTTCTAATGTGCTAAAAAAATTTTTTATTTTAAAGTTTAGAAAAATAGATGCATTTAATGTTAACCCTCACTCAACTTCAGTAATTATCAATACATGACCATTCTTGTTTCATCTATATGTACACCTACTTCTCCTACCCTTGTCATAGTTCAGTACATAATGTTAAATGATAAGGACTCAAAAAAACCTGCAGCACCATTATTACATATAAAGACAACTAAAGTTTTAATCTTTAATATTATCAAAATATTTAGTCAGTGTTCAGATTATCTGGATTGTCTTATAAGTTATTATTTTACAGTTTGTTTGGCTTGTGCAAAGGGCCATACATTGTGATTGCTTGTGTCTGTCTCTCTTTGTGTTTTTTTTAATCTGTAGTCTTCCCCTTGACCTCTCTCTTTTTTCTTGTTATTTTTGATTGAAAAAACTGGGTCATTTATCCTGTACAGTTTTTCAACAGTCTAGATTTTGCTTATTACATTCATTCCATTGTCCCTTGTATTCCCTGTAAATTGGTAGATCTCATTCAGGTGATTTTTTTGTTTTGCCTAGTTTTATGCAAGAATCCAGCAGCAAGAAATACTCAATGTCTGAATATTAGTAAGCCGTTAATGAACACTGCCCTGATGATTTAATTTTTGTCTTTTATCATAATTATTGTCAAGTTTTACATAATGTAAAATTAAATGTTTTGAAGAGATTTAATTTGAATTACCGTCTTATCTCTATTCCTCAGAATTTCTCTGACAGTATATCACAGAAAGTCTTTTAAGAAGATATAATTTCTTGTTGTTTTCTAGTTGTAAAATATTTTTTTGAATTTAAAATAACTTCATACTTAAAAGCAATGCGTGTTTAATACAGAACAATTAAAAAATATAGATAGGCAAAAAGAATAAAATAAAAACATGTATAGCTCCACAATTTATATGTAATCTACTTTAACTGCTTAGAATATATCTTTCAAAATTTTTTTATATTTAAATGTATCTTAACTATTTATAACTGTCTTTTCATTTACTCTATTATAAACATGTTGATGAATACATTTTTAATGTTGGAATTCTACTGTATGGATATATACCATAATTTTTAAACCAATTCTCTTATTGTTGGGCATAACTTTTCTTATTTTAAAATGTTAACATGAATGTCCCTTTTTTCAAATTATTTTCAGGTTGGTCTTCCTGCAAAATCTGGAGTTGCTGGAGGCATTCTTTTAGTTGTCCCCAATGTCATGGGTATGATGTGCTGGTCTCCTCCTCTGGACAAGATGGGCAACAGTGTTAAAGGAATTCACTTCTGTCATGTAAGCGTATTTTCTTAAGGAAAATAACGATCGTACAAGTTGAACCATCCAATGATTCTCTTTTTTTTTACAGTTTATTGATTGTTGGCACTCTACTTTCCTGTCTGCCAGTTAGTGGACAGTCATGGAAGTACTCATAGAGCAGCTTCAAACTGCCTCTACCAGACAGCTCCCATAGAATCATTCTTACAGAAAATTACATTTGTTTGATGCTTATATTTTAATTTTCATGGTTGTAGTTAGTTTTCAGTTTCCAAAAGCTCAGCAAAAGATATTAAACTTGGAAAAGTAATTTAAAATCCAACATAAATTAAGATTATTGTACTTTATTCTATCATCTTTAATCTGCCTCGTTGAATAGCTTTATCCATAAACCACTACCTTTAAAAATCTTTTTTTTTTTTTTTTTTGAGGGATTGTTACTACTCTTGACTAGTTCAGTATTTTATGTTGTTACCCAAGTCTTGGCTAATATTTCAACTTCTGGTTTTATTTACTGCTTCCTAGAGTCTGCATTGAGTACAGTAATGTTTTCTGCAGACTTTCTCAATTAAAATTGTGACTTATTTTTCAGTTTTTTGTATTTTACAAAAACTAGAGAATGACATAGGATTGCTTATAGATTATAGTAGATTGTAACTGGAATATTTATTTATATATTTGTAGTGCCTATTGGTTATTTGATAGAAGAATTCTTTCATCTGGTCTGTTATAATGCCTATTTTGTGGGAAATGAAAGTTAAACAGTTTGAGTGCTGAGCCCTAAGGTCACGCTATATAGTAAGCAGTGTTCTCAAATTTGTGTTCATATCTTCTCATTCTGACTTCAGCCCTCTTCTTCTTCTTCTTCTTCTTCTTTTTTTTTTTTTGAGGAAGATTAGCCCTGAGCTAACATCTGCTGCCAGTCGTCCTCTTTTTGCTGAGGAAGACTGGCCCTGAGCTAATATCTGTGCCCATCTTCCTCTACTTTATATGTGGGATGCCTACCACATCATGGCTTACCAAGCGATGCCATGTCTCCACCCAGGATCCGCACTGGTGAACTCTTGGCCTCTCAGTCCTCTTCTTGATGCATCATGCTGCTTTATTAACATGCAGTGGTGCTTTCCATGAGATAGTAGTTAGGTTGAACAGTATTAGTGTAATTTGTTAAAATATGAAAAAAACAATAGCCAATGAATAGCCAGTTTCTTATACCTGTTCTGTTTATTTACAGGATCTTGTTTCTCTGTGTAATTTCCATAACTACGATAATTTGAGACACTTTGCAAAAAAACTTGATCCTCGAAGAGAAGGTGGTGATCAAAGGGTAAGCAAAATTCTTATTTTAGATTATTATGTAATATTTTTTTAAGAAAAAGAAAATGAGATTCGCTTGTTTAAATAAAACTTAGTTTAATTGTTAGTGGCCTCATATATTTGCTAATCACAAATTATCATAAACAAATTGTTGATGTTTTCATCCTCAAGCAGTAGTTCATAGATAGCTGCTGTTTTATTTAAATTGAAACTGGTAGGCCTAGCAGCAGAATTCTCCCCTCTGTCCCATTTTTCTGCTATTTTAAGTACTATTTTGAAGAATTGATTCTGTTGAAAGAAGATAGATTGGAAAGTGCTGCATACTATAAAAAGAAAGCCTTGTTTTTTCCTCTTAATATTTGTCAGTTCTAGTCTTGAATTGAAGTTTATTTTGACGTGGATGGGTATGTAAGTGGAAAAGGGATTATAGTATTAGTGAAAGACCTTACAAAGCCTCATAATAAGTTTTATAGGCCACTAAAGATGATATTTTTTTTTTTTTTAAAAGTGTTTAATGCAATAGTCCTGATATTCTTAACATTTGTTTATTATTAGTTTGGCTTCGTATTATTGCACATATATACTTCTTTTTTTATAGCTATTATTTAAGAGTGAGCACTTAAATTTCAGGAATAAGATTTCTTTGTCTTCATAATTGTTCGCTGGACCAAGGGACATGTTTTGAGTTTTAATTAAATTTCTTTGCATCCCATATGGAAAATGTTTATAGTAAAATTACCTAATTAGATTTGAACCTAATGTGAAGCATTAATAAGTAGAAAATATTTTGAATACATACTAAGCACATTTTCCTATTGTTAATTCCAATCAAAGTAACTTCTAATAATATATGAGAATTATGCTAAGCCGACAGAATAGAAACTTCCATGGGAATCAACATGAGTAACATGGAGCAAAACATCAGATGGTGGTGGGTGAAAATGTTAACAGATTTTAATAACATTCATTGAAAAATACCGTTTTATAGCTTGGACCTTTCTTCACTCAAGTGCACTAATAAATTATGTATGTTGCTTGAACAACTAGCATTCCTTTGGACCATTGGACTATGAAAGTCTCCAACAAGAACTTGCTTTAAAAGAGACAGTGTGGAAAAAAGTGTCACCTGAGTCAAATGAGGACATCTCTACAACTGTAGTGTATAGAATGGAAAGTCTGGGAGAGAAAAGCTAAAGAAATGAGTTCTAGTTTCAGAATGTTCTTCATTTAACTTTTCAAACACCTTTAGCTTTTTTGCATACTATAAATATTTATTTGAGTTTTTTTTGTGTTCTCAACCTTGAGTGCTGGAGCCATAAAGCTTTTTTTCTTTTAATCTTTGTATAAAGATAGTAGATTAAAAAGTGGATTTGTTGTTCTTTAGAAAAGTATTTGTAAGTAAATAAAGCAAATTTGCTTTATTTTAAAAAATGCAAGAAGGAAAAATTTCTTTAAAATTTTTCTTGGTGTAATTAAAATTTTAACTATATAGTCAGATTCCCATTTTAAAATAGCAACAGAAATTTGTAGTTTCTTGGTTCTAAAACCCACACATTGAACTCCTAAGTTTCATTACATTTTGTTTTTTCTTTTCCAATTTTAAAACTGAGATGATGACTGTAGTGGCAATAGAAAGTATTTCTATGCTAAATACAAAACTAAAAAGGCAAAATAATGAATCCCAAATTATTTAATAACAGCAGATTATAAAATTAGCTTCAGTTTACATTTTATGCCATTTTTAGTGATCGATGGGCTTTAAATTTTTAAAAATTCATTTTAAATTTTATCAGACACTTTAAAATATGTCCTGTCATTGCTTTTTTACTTTGCCGCTCCTATGTTCTGTCAGAATTGTCATGTATAGGAGTGTCTTATGTTATTAAAACATTCCAGCCAAAGATTTTCAAATGTAAGATAATGACATGTTTCATTGTTAAAAAGCTATAATGGTTACTCAGAAGGAGTGACAGTGAGTGTCTTCAAGTGAAATGTTTACCTGAACAATTTTATTTTCGTATTATCCACATAACTTTTTCTATGTTATATTTAAATATGAATGATGAATCTTGGTTTTTAGCTTTTAATAATTTTATTATCCTAATAATTTCACAAATGCTAATGAATCTTTTATGATAAATTATAATAAGCTCTCATAGTGTGTTCTATTTGAACTCTTTTAGAGTACTTAGGAAATGAATTCAGTCTGAAGGTAGTAAGTATGCTACTAAAATATCTGTTAGATCTGAATCCTTTTGTTTGGTTATAAAAATGCAATATTGAGAATCAAAACTTGTTTTAAGAGAAGGACTATAGGTTCTAGATAACCTGATTTCAAATAATTCCCAGTGTTTAAATTCTGTCCTGGCAAAGTGATTGTAAAATTCTTAGGACCTATTCACACTTCTTCCTTCCTCCATATACCTCTTGAGTTCTCCCCACAATTCCCCACAGCTTCGAGGGTTTTTTTTTTTTTTAATTGGTTTTAAACTTATATGGAGGGGGCAGGAGGGGGCTCTAGAAGGAGAACTTGATATGCAGTTTCTTAGTATCATGGCACATATGTGGTAGGGTAAAGTCTGTAAAAGTAAATAGAGTGTAGCAAAAAAGATTTCACAGTAATTTAGATACTAGTGCAACTATAGATATAGAAAATCCTGACAATGTGAGGTCTTGAGTTTGGGAACTATGATATTAGGAAAAGAAGTTCCCTCTCAGAGGTGTTGGTCAGAAGCCTTTTGGGCTAACTTAAGTATTAAACTTACATACTTAAATAATTACATACTACGTTTTAGAGGATTTTACGGTTACTTGAGTGTTCCTCTAATGTGCAGATCCTAATGCATGTCCTAATTGGATGCTTCTGGTTTGGCCGTTTGCAGGAGAGTGGTGTGTCTGAAGGCCTCGCCTCTCTGTGACTCTTTGGACAGTGGTGTTTGTATCAGTTTCACCAGAGCCGTTTGTGGTTTGGGGAACTGAATGCCTTAATAGGTAGTTTGCAACAAAGGCTTTATTTTTTCCCCTATGTTCTAAATTGTTACATTTTACTGTTTCACTTGGAAGTTGGTTTTACTTTATAAAATGAAATTTTAATGTTTCATATTGTGTTTATGTTTGTATAGATTTCAAAATCATGTTAATTTGTGGCACTTATTACTATGTTAGTAAGGTTTAAATGCACATTTATCAATGAGATAGGGTTATCTAAGCTATTGTGTTTATAGAATCTTGTTAAGGAAGAGCATCCAGAAATTTTAGTAGGAAGGTATAAATGGAAGAAGGGGGAAGATATTGTGAATAGGCCCTCCAACTTTACTTTAAAAAGAAAAAAAGGAAAACCTTTGCCAGATTTAAGGACATTGTTTTAATTCCTTAAGTATTTTTTAATACCTTTCCAAATAAAGTTCTTGAAAAGTACCCAGTGTTGTTGAATTTAATGTTTCATGCTATTACTGATTCTTGATATTCAAGCATGTAGAAGTTAGCATATTTGTTTTTCTTTTTTTCATCGTTAACATTTCATTTGAAATGCATATCCTTTCTGAAATACTTTATTTTTAGCATAAATGTTGTGCATTTTATCTTAGTGTTTGGATGAAAACATTTGTGTTATTTAGCTTTCTTTCATTTGCTTTGTATATTTAATAATGTACCTTTTATTTTCCGGTATGCCTACTTTTGTATTGTACAATAAATTTATTTTAAGCTGATTTTATTGTTTTTTTTTTTTTGATGAAAGCAACTCCAGCATTTTAAGTACAACAAACAGTTGGAATTTTAACTTAAAAATTCTTTATGAAGATTCTATTAAAGTGCTTTATATTTTTAATTAATTCTGAGGCTGCTATGAAGAGAAACTAGAAATACTCAAAAGGGCTTCATTTGATTCTTTTTTTTAACCTAGTATAGTGTCGGCGGGGTTTTTTTGGTGGGGAGGACGTTTTCCTATTGGTTGTACTGGAAGTATTTGAATAAAGACTTTTCTCCCAGTTTTTTTTGTTGTTTTTCCATTTGACAACTTAAAAAAACCAACACTGCCCTATTTGCAGGTTCTTTCTGCTTTCTGAGGAAGAATGTAACTGTTGTGTTTTATGTGTTGTCTTGAATAGGAAAAACATACTGCTAAATCAAATGAAGAGTATCATAATGTTGCTTTAGAATAGAACTGTCAGTCTCAGTAGAATTTATATTCAGTGGAATAAGTGCAATATAGAAATGCACCTTAACTACTTTTTAAGGAATTTAATTTTCAGAAGGAACTTAGTATATTTCCACACCATGGTTCAAATTATCATGAGGCTTCATTCATTGTAGGTCAAATACAGTACTTGAAATTTTTGTTTGATTAAATCAGCCATTCATATCCAGAGACGTCCCACATATATTTCCATCTATTTTTATATATTTCCATTTACTTCTATATATTTTGTAGAAGTTTTAAAACTATTTGAAGGGGAAATACCGTTGCTTATAGGAGTTTGTATATATCTGTGGGATTTTTTGCGTTAAGTTCTTTTGGGACTAGTAAATAAGGAGTTCTGTGTCATGGTATATTCAGAATGTAACAGTTTATGATCATTTGCTTTTAAAGACGTATGTGGGGTTTTTTGTTGTTTTTAACCCATTTGAAGGAAAGGGAGAGGTGACAAAGAGCTTGGTGATCTTGATCTGACAGTGTAGTTTCATAGGCATGAATGTCTGTCAAAAGAACCACTGATAGATGCTGATATGTCAGTCTGTATTTTGATAGTTTATTATAATGTGTGTATGTATAAAGTGTGTATAACTATATGTCTATCTATCCATCCATTTTCTGAAAATCAGCAGCAATTCTTTCCACATAGTATGTTATGTATAAATAGTTCATTGATCTATTCCTATTACAAGTTTTGTCATAAAAGAACTCCTAACATTTTTGCTGCCCCAGAATTTATAAAATATGACATATTTACTTGTTCAGTTTAAGTTGAAAGATTTGTGGTTTCTGTCCTTGCTCCCCTTCACTATCAG